TATGCCTGATCCAGGCCATACTCTTCACAATTGCTTACTATGTGTCAGAGAGCTGGAAAATAACAAGGTATAATAGAAAGATAATCGATGCCTTTAAGATGTGGTGCTGCAAAAGAATGTTGAATACCATAGACTGCTAGGAGAACAAACAGGTTTGTCCTAGAGAAGATGGAATGAGGCTGCTCCTTGGATGCAAGGAATCTGAGGCTTTGTGTGACATACTTTGAGCACGTTGCAAAGAAGGACCAGTCCTTGGAGAGGGACATCATGCTTGGAAAGGGGGAAGGACAGAGAAGAGATAAGACCATCAATGAGATACATTGATTTAGTGACTAGGGTAATGGGTGTAGGTGTATCAGAGACAGTAAAGTTGGCACAGGATAGAGCAGGTTTCAGGGCTGTTGTACATAGGTCACTATGTCACTATGAGTCACAAGCAACTGGATGGCACATAAAAATAAACACAACTTTTGTGTATTTTTAATTCCTTTTCCTCTGTTGTTTTAGAGGAGACTCAAATTAACCACAGCAACATTTGTTTTCAACTCTACTTGAAGAATATGGAATCTCTTACACTCTCGATAGAACTGTCATTGTTAGTTGTTATTGGGTCAATTTTTACTCCTTGTAACCTTGTTTGTGTAGAGTAGAACTATTCATAGGATTTAAGGGATATGACCTTTCAGAAGCACCTGGCTTGTCTTCAAAAACAACTCTGGGTTTGTCTGAGTTACCCCTGCTTCAGAAAGTAGTCAAGTGCATAACTGTTTGTACACCCAAGAACTCCTCTGTAAAGGAGGACTTAAATTTAAACAACAAGAGAAGAGTATGCCTATGCATTAGTGTTTTCCCACTAATGATATTTATCAGTCAATAGTCACATACACACGGTCCACATTGATTATCATTACTAAGTATGAGTGTGAGCAGTTGCTAAGATATTCACAAGCTCACAAGAGTTTGTAATATTTGAGTACATAACATTGAATACATCTGCACAACTATCTATACTGTTAAATCACTTTAAGAGATACATATACATTATGTATATACACTTAGTTCAATGTTTATAAACTATGTATTATCGTTTTTCCTCCTAGTAATTAATTGTTAGGGTTTTAGAGTGTAAAAGGTACAATCATTCTCAAGAAATTTGTACATGAACTCAACAACTACAATTAAAATACAGTGTGTGAAGGGTTTTGATAGGCAGGGACTTAATGGAATATTAAATGCAATAGGAAAACAGAATAGCATTCTTAAACTGAAGAAACTAAAGAACAAATTCAAGTTGCAACTTGCAATACTTAAGGAAGCTATAGGCAGAATACTGAATTATCTAGGAAGTATTAAAAGAAGATGGAAGTAGTATACAGAGTCACTGTACCAAAAAGAAGTGGATGACATAGAAGAATTTCAAAAAACAACATATGATCAAGAGGCAATGGTGATGAAGGAGGAAGTTTAGGCTGCCCTGAAGCACTTGGCAAAAAATAAAGAACAAGGAATTGATGAATTACCAACTGACATAATAAAAAAAAAAACAGAGGCTGCCTTAAACATGCTCACCAGATGGTTTCAGGAAATATGGAGGACAAGTAACTACCTGACCAACTGACTGAAAGAGATCCCTATTTATTCCCATTCAAAAAAAAGTAACACAACAGAGAACATAAATTATCATACCATAAATTATCATACAATATCACTCATATCACACACAAGAAAAATCCTGATGAAGATTATATCCAGACGGAAATGAAACAGGACATTGATAGAGACCTACCAGAAACACAAGCTGGGTTTAGAAGAGGCTGTGGCACTAGAGACATTATCACCAATGTCAGATGGATCTTGGCAGAAAGCAAAGAGTACCAGAGGGATATCTATCTGTGTTTCATATGACTATCCAAAGGCATATGACTGTGTGGATCACAATAAATTGTGGTTAAACTTGAGGAGAATGGGAATCCCAGAACACTTGATTGTTCTTAGGTAAAACCTAAACTTGGACCAGGAAGCAGTCCTCAGAAAAGAGCAGGGAAACATTGCAAGGTTCAAAATCAGAAAGGGAGTGTGTCAAGGATGTGTTCTGTCTTCCTACTTTTTCATTTTATATACAGAAGATATCATTCACATGGCTGGGCTTTATGAGGATGAATACGAGGAAGACTAGCCAACAACCTGAGACATGCAAATGCACACTTTGCTTGCTTGAACTAAGGAGGACCTAAAGTACTTGCTGCAGAAGGTCGAGGGCTGTAGTTTTCAATATGGATTGAAGCTCCACATCAAAAAGACAAAGATTCTTACAATTGGCAGCACCATCATGGATGAAGAAGAGATTGAGTTTGTTAACAGTTACAGCTTACTTGCTCAACAATGAACACTCTTGGCACCAGCAATGAGAAGATCAAAAGACAGATTGCATTAGGTAAATCTGCTGTTGGGGACATTTTCAGAGGATAGAGAAACAACGTCAGTCTAGAGACTAAGGTGCACCTGATTCAGGCCATGGTCTTCACAATTACATCATACATCAGAAAGCTGGACAATAACTAAGGATGACAGAAGAAGAAATCGATGTCATTGAGTTGTGGTGCTGGAGGTGTTAAATATACTGTGAACTGCCAAGAAAACTAATAGGTCTGTCTTGCAGAGGATGAAACCAAGTTTCTCCTTGGAAACTAGAACTTTGAAGCTCTGTCTCACATACTTTAGGCATGTGGCCAAGAGAGACCAG